TACCCTTAAAACTTAAACCAACTTTGCTGTACAGTATTACCTATACAAGTTTGGCAATTGTTTGTGAATAATAATGGGGCAGGGCCATGGGGGGTGGTGACCCTGAATTTGTTGTCTTCAGATAACCTGTCTCTTCAGGGGTGTTTCGAGGGTGAATGCCCTTTTGGCCTGGTTCCAACCAGGCCTCCAGATGAATGACCTGGTCACCAGGCTGTTGGTAATAACCTCTCCTATCATGAGAGGGTTTCAGGGGTCAAATGCCCCCACGGCTCGGTCTGAGACCAGGCCTCATGGTGGATCAGGGTTTGATCAACCAGGCTGTTATTATTGGCTGCACACAAACTGATGTATGACCCACTGATCAGTTGGTCAGGTGCCTGTCCAGTACCTTCTTGAAGGCAGCCAGGGGTCTCTTGGTAATCCCCCTTATGTATGCCGGGAGGCAGTTGAACAGTCTTGGGCCCCGGATACTTATTGTGTTGTCTCTCAATGTGTTCGTGGCAGCCCTGCTTTTCATTGGGGGAATGTTGCATCACCTGCCGAGTCTTTTGCTTTCATAGGGAGTGGTTTTCGTGCGCAGGTTTGGTACCAATCCCTCCAGGACCTTCCAAGTGTATATTATCATATATCTCTCTCGCCTGCATTCCAGGGAATACAGATCAAGGACCTTCAAACATTCCCAGTAATTTAGGTGCCTTATTGTACTTATGTGTGCCGTGAAAGTTCTTTTTACACTCTCCAGGTCAGCAATGTCGTCAGCCTTGAAGGGGGCCATTAGTGTACAGCAGTATTCCAGCTTAGAGAGAACAAGCGATTTGAAGAGAGGCATCATGGGCTTGGCATCCCTAGTTGTGAAGGTTCTCATTATCCATCCTATCATTTTCCTAGCAGATGCAGTAAATACATTGTTGTGGTCTTTGAAGGCGAGATCCTCTGACATTATCACTCCCAGGTCCTTCACATTACTTTTTCCCTCTATTGTATGGTTAGAATTTTTCATGTACCCCGATACATTTTTAATTTCCTCAAACTTTCCATATCTGATGAAGGGCTCTTGATCAGAGCAAGTGGCACTGTCCTCCTTATCCTAGATCAAGTCTGCCCTCCACCCTTCCTCTTCCAAGTACATATTGTGAGAGTAAGACACATGTGCAACATCTGGGTATCTTTATTGTAGACGTTTCGCCATCCAGTGGCTTTATCAATACAAATTCTAGGACATAACTTGAAGACAGTAGAACTATGTACAGAAGATGAGGTAATCAGTCCCTCAACCTAGGAGTAGGTGCGAACAGCACCATAGTCGTGGAGATTCTGAAGCAGAAGAAAGAATCCTGGCGCTTATATAGTAACGTCAGGTGTAGCAGACGAGGGCATATTCACTGGTAGGCGGGATTCTCCAGTGGAAGTAGGTCCTTCCCAAAGAGATGGGTTAGTTGTAGAAGTAGTTGTCGTAGTCGTGAAGGTTATGTACATGTCCTCAGAATTAAGATTCCATGATGTTGCAGTGTCTGACAAGTTGTGTACGAAATGGTATATAATACCGACAAGATGAGAGTAAGACACATGTGCAACATCTGGGTATCTTTATTGTAGACGTTTCGCCATCCAGTGGCTTTATCAATACAAATTCTAGGACATAACTTGAAGACAGTAGAACTAGAATTTGTATTGATAAAGCCACTGGATGGCGAAACGTCTACAATAAAGATACCCAGATGTTGCACATGTGTCTTACTCTCATCTTGTCGGTATTATATACCATTTCGTACACAAGTACATATTGTAATTGAGGCTTTTAGCCTCTCACTTTGTCCTGATGTCTTATGATTTGTGGCTTGTTGACCCAACTGAAATTTTAGATTCTGTTTGTTGATTGTGGCTCTTGGGCCAAGCCCAACTATTGCCCCTATATTAACCACGGTACATGGGAAGGTTTGAGCCCATAGTGCATGAGTCACAGTGGTGGCCCATGCTAACCTCCCTATGGTGTATAAATATACCTAGTTGGATAACTCTTATTGTAGCTAGTTGGCCGAGTGGCATATGCACTGGACAGGAGTTTCACTCTCCATGGGTTCAAATCCCACCCGGACCGTGGTTTTGTTGAAAATGCTTTGTTTGCAATCATGTTATTATGATATGTGATCCCCTCTATATTTTTTGCTGTTTTGTGAATTTTGACTTGAACCTTGCTTGTTCAGACCAGAGCTTTGGTGAGATGGGTAAGGAAGAAGGATGGGTAAGGATAGAAATATTGGAAAAGGGTGAGAGGTGGGATATAAAGGCAAGTGGCCCAACCACTTTGGTGTAATTTAAAAAGTGTACATGAAATGATAAGATATTATTTAAGGGGTATAAGACTAATCCATCAGAGTCACATAGATATAACAGATATATAAGTACATGACTCTGAATTGGTAGTAATTATACAAGTTGCATTTTTTTTTTTTTTTTTGCGATTGCACAACGGATATTTATGCGACAAGGAAGGCAATAATTTTCTGGTCAGTTTATAGAATTTCGTGACAATGGCTTCTTACAAGTGGTGTCCAGCCATAGTAAATAGCATAATTTTTACATTAGAAAGTTATATAAGATGTCTCCCTAATTGGGGGCGATGATTTTCTCAGTATACATAGAAGGGTTCTGGTGGTACCCAATCCTGAACCAAATCTTGGATTCTGTTTTGTGGACAAACCCTTGTGGAACCTTCGCAATTCTCACCTACTTGATTTTTTTTTCTGTTTTGACGTAGTACCGAGATTTGAGTTTGTTTAGGTGACTGTGGGTCTTGTGTCATGACCTACTATATTACCTCTGGAGTTTACCTGGAGAGAGTTCCGGGGGTCAACGCCCCCGCGGCCCGGTCTATGACCAGGCCTCCTGGTGGATCAGAGCCTGATCAACCAGGCTGTTGCTGCTGGCTGCACGCAAACCAACGTACGAGCCACAGCCCAGCTGGTCAGGAACCGACTTTAAGTGCTTGTCCAGTGCCAGCTTGAAGACTGCCAGGGGTCTGTTGGTAATCCCCCTTATGTATGCTGGGAGGCAGTTGAACAGTCTCGGGCCCCTGACACTTATTGTATGGGCTCTTAACGTGCTAGTGACACCCCTGCTTTTCATTGGGGGGATGTTGCATCGTCTGCCAAGTCTTTTGCTTTCGTAGTGATTTTCGTGTGCAAGTTCGGTACTAGTCCCTCTAGGATTTTCCAGGTGTATATAATCATGTATCTCCCGCCTGCGTTCCAGGGAATACAGGTTTAGGAACCTCAAGCGCTCCCAGTAATTGAGGTGTTTTATCTCCGTTATGCGCGCCGTGAAGGTTCTCTGTACATTTTCTAGGTCAGCAATTTCACCTGCCTTGAAAGGTGCTGTTAGTGTGCAGCAATATTCCAGCCTAGATAGAACAAGTGACCTGAAGAGTGTCATCATGGGCTTGGCCTCCCTAGTTTTGAAGGTTCTCATTATCCATCCTGTCATTTTTCTAGCAGATGCGATTGATACAATGTTATGGTCCTTAAAGGTGAGATCCTCCGACATGATCACTCCCTCTATATAATTTTGCGGAAAAAAACCATACCACAGGCGGGGATAGAACCCGCGATCAGTCTCAAAACTCCAGATCGTCGCGTTAGCCACTGGGCCAGCTAGCCACAATAAGATTCGTCCAACTAGGTATATTTCTACACCATAGGAAGGTTAGCATAGGCACCACTGTGACCACAAATGCCAGTTTTTACAGACGAATCTCCAGCTAGCATGGCCATGACGAACTCTAGCTCAAGTCCCCTCAAAGCTGTCAACATGACTCACGAAATCGTAATGACACGATTGCAAACAAACCATACCACGGGCTACCACAGGCGGGGATAGAACCTGCGATCAGAGTCTCAAAACTCCAGGCCGTCTCATTAGATTAGCCACTGGACCAGCTAGCCACAATAAGATTCCTCGTGTCATTACGATTTCGTGAGTCATGTTGACGGCTTTGAGGGGGACTTGAGCTAGTGTTTGTCACGGCCACGCTAGCTGGAGATTCGTCTGTAAAAACTGGCATTTGTGGTCACAGTGGTGCCTATGCTAACCTTTCTATGGTGTAGAAATATACCTAGTTGGACGAATCTTATTGTGGCTAGCTGGTCCAGTGGCTAACGCGACAGTCTGGAGTTTTGAGACTATGATCGCGGGTTCTATCCCCACCCGTGGTATGGTTTGTTTGCAATCGTGTCATTACGATTTTGTGTCATAATTTTCCGGGTTTAGTGCTTCATTCTGATTGTAAAAATATATTTTTGCTGCTTTGTAGGTTTTGACCTGGACTTAGTTGTGGATTCTGTTATGTGAACTGTGCATTATGAGACTTAATAAAGTTATCGCCAATAATTTTGACTTAATTGTATAAATATTTACTGCTCTGTAGGTATGGGCCTGGATCGAGTTTTGGATTCATTGGGTTGACTGCGCCCTGTGGACGATGTTCCGCTCTTTTTGCCTCTATGTACTTTCGATGTTTTGTAGATTTTGACCTGAATTGCCTTTTGGCTTTTGTTTTGTGTGACCAGTATCCTTTGTGTGTGACTGTTATCCGTTTTGTAACTATTTTGTTCCATAACGTGATTCATTATCTATTTTGTGTGACAATTACTTTTTCTGATGTACTGCACTTGATAACCAACGAGTTTGGCGCATTTTTTGAGGAAATGGTAATAGACAAGAAGTTGAAGCTACACTTGCATGTGGCTCAGGTGTTTACCTCTATATGTTAGCTCTTTCCCTGAATATAATGTTACCGAGCGGGTATAATACAGTGTGCTCTTAAAAATATTATATGTATTATATATATGTATAATATTTTGAAACTAATTTTTTTTATAGTTTTGAGGAAAAATGCGAATCATTTGTTGACATTTTAAGTGAATAATAGACACGTGGAGTATTTAAAATTATGCTATTCCTAAAAAGTTTTTCACTCAGGGTTTAATAGACACTCGGTAAACTAGTGTTTTATTGGTTTATATTAGCAAATATAAATATTTGGTAGCTATAAATAACAGAGGTATAAATATAAATATATCTACAAAGTAGATTCTGTCAAGTTGGAAAGAAGTGCCTGGTGGTCTTGTGTGACGGGAAGACAGCAACGGTGAGACAGTCCTCAACATTTCATATTGAAATACATTTTAAGAGATTCGGAACATTGTAGGATATACTAGTTCTTGTTTTATTGGAGAGATGATGGAACAATGTTTTAATTTTTATTTGTGAAAACTAATGATTAGTCAGTGTTTGGTTTCATTAGTGTTCCACTATACTAGTGTTTTGATATCTTGGCTGTGAAGCACACAAGTTTTTGGCATTTTCATTCTTTGACTACTCTCACGGGAGGTGCCTTGATACCGGTGAAGGGCTCTTTATTCAAGGTATTTGAACTGACCTTACTTTCCTTGGATCGACCCTGTTTCCGGTCCCCATGAACTGTATGGTTCATATGGGTTTACTTGCATGACCCTTGTCGATTTAGAGCTTTGTTTTATTATAATAATCACGGGTTTAGCCCTCCCCATGAATGTAACAATTCACTCTTGACTGGAGACCAAACTTGCATTTCTCTTGGATGGACCTTCAGAAGGTGTACCTTGAAGCTAAGAAAGGACTCTTGATCCAAGAAATTGGAATTATCCCCCCTTGGATTAAATCTTACGTCCCCATTAATTGCAAAGGGCCTTAGATAAGTGACCTGCTGATGACTAGGGTGAGAATGCTGAAGGTGGCGCTGAAGGTGGACTGTATGTGGCCTGAGACTCCGCTTGATTGTGTCGGAGGCACTGGTGGATGCGTGTCAGGGGTTATTTTTGTGTCGGTTCCATGGTCTGTGCACGCTGTGGCGAAGGAGACCAGGTTGGTCCCGTCTAGACATATGGCTTTCAGAACTAGTTCCTTTTCCAGTTCTTGTTCCTCTTGAGAATCATTGTTACTCTGGAGCCAGTCTAATGCATCACAGGTGCAGTCGAAATGATTTTCATCAGCACTGTAGATGATAACGTTCTTGTTTAGTCGGAAACCTTGTTCTTCCACTTTGTGGAATTTGTTGTTGCTCAGAGCAATGAAGGTTTGGTAGGGCACACCATCGCTTCCCGTCAGGCCTCTCAGAGCATGTCTTTGTAGATTGGTGATCGTGTTGCCAATGAAAAGTGCTGCGCTGATCTCACACCCGTTGTAAAGTTCCATTGAAAATGCCAAGGATTCTACATTTTCAAAGTGGTTTCCACCAACAATAAGAAATCCCAGAGTATGGGTGGCAAGAGCACGGGTTTTCAAGCTCTGAATATTGTTCTTGAAGAGGTAGAGGCGTGTTCCAAACTCTGGGAGGGAAACATTAGCCGTGGATGTTATTTGACGACGTATAACATCAATGACATTTTTTGAGTTAGAAGCAGATACCCTGATGTCTGCACAGTTAATTTCTTCAGTGGTTTCCCTGTTGAGAGAAACTGCTTCTGTCTCTATGGTTCCTACACTGGTGTACACGATAGCTAAGTCTTCTAGTGATGACAGGTTACTGAAGGCGTGACTTTCTATCATACTGATACTAGTGTTAGCTATCTCGACAAGTTGGAGTTGGTCGAGGTTGCTGAAAGCATTGGACTTGATTATACCAACTGACCCTCCGAATATCCTGATCTGTTTCAACAGCTTCATGCCCTTGAAGACGTGGGCTGGCAGCAAGTCAAAGGTCGAATCGAAAAAGCTGAGTCTAGATATGCTGGAGTTCCAGTTAGCAACTATATTGTTAGCGAAGAAGACCTGGGCTCCCACCAGGAGGAGGGTGTCTGGGGCTACCATCGTCTCCAAGTCAGGCCAGTTTAGCTCCAATCCCTTTTCGAAACACGACGTCTGGTTAATGGTCAGCTGTGAGATTGACAAGTTCGTCTGCGGAAGAGAGAATGCTATTAATCTTGAGTTTTTCAGCACTTAAAATTTTGAAACACTACAGTGGGCCTCAGTGTCATCTGTTACACAGTTATATACAAATTTTAGTTTTCTTTTCCAAAGTGGGTTTAAATTGGAGTTTGGTAGTGTGATCCTCTCAAGGGAGGCTCATTCATACTGGTAAGGGGCTTTTGGTCCAAGGAATTGAAAGTATCCTCCCCTTGGATCGAACCTGAATAGCTCACATTTTCCCAGGGGTTTAATACGCCCCATGATTGTAATAATAAAGTAAAGAAACCCGAGAGTTATAATTCAACTCTTCGAAGCCCACGAGCTTTAGATCAACACCCTCAAGAGACCCAGGAGATGTAGATTAACTCCCTCAAAAGATGTTAATAAGTTCAAATAAGGCGAAACTAAGTTGGCTATGTCCGTAGACTTTATCTACACTCCCTTCGTGACCCTTGTAGGTTTAGCGCTTCTTTTTGATTATAATAATATTATAATAATAATACATATTCATCCATGAAGGAGGAACCATAGTACTACTGAGGGGCTCTTGATCTTCATGAAACTTATAGTAGCGCATACAGGATATGCCGGAGCGAAGCAGATTAAAAGTATATAATTAAAAACGTGCATTAGCCTAATTTTCTCTAATTCTTTTAAATTTATATATGCGACCACCGAGAAGCCTGGTTGTGGACCAGGCCGCGGGGGCGTTGATCCCCGGAATACCTTCCAGGTAGATATATATGTCGTGCCGAATAGGTAGAACTTGCGATTTTTGCTTAAATAGCAACGCTCTTCTTCCCGAATAAGGCAAGCGAAAATTTGTGTATACAGTAATTTCGCACAAATCATTCTGAACCTAACGAAAAACAATATATATTTCATTGTGTTTGTTTATTATTAAATTATTGTAAACTTACCTAAGATACATTTAGTTGGATTAGGCTAAATTTGGTACAAAATTATTAATTTTTACATTAACATAAATTAAAAAAAATTTAAACGCATAGGAATTTTTTTTAGAAAGTACTTAATTTTAAATGAGTTCTTGCTAAGTGACCAGTTTTACCTATTTGTCACGACATATGTATATTGTCGCAACAACAATAGGTATCCCCTTTCTGGGGGAGACTTAATAATTTACTTACATGAAAGAGTCGTTGCATGCAGTTGCAGTGAACGTCGACTTTGTGTGGGTTGTCAAGTGCTGGAAATGTATCACAGTTTTCGGTTCTTTTGGCTGAGGTCATAAGTGTCAGTAGCAAGATCTGTACCATCAGCGCCAACACCCGCCATCTGTCACTGTAGCGGTCAGCCATAGCTCTCTACACCACTGATGAGCACTTCACGTCACCAGGAAGGTTGTCTTGCAGAAACGAAGAGAAGCAGTAATCACAGGGCGGACAGTATTCAGTAAGTAGTGACAAGTGTTGTTTATGTCTTCTTCAGGATACGTATATTTGGTGTCTCCTTAGGTCTCCAGCTGTGTGTTGTCACTCCTGTGTTAGTTGAATGTTGAGTGTGTATGTGTACTGAGAGGTGCTCAGCGAACAGTGAGTAGGCACACAGTGTCAAGAAGGAATAACGTCCTCTGTCTTTTATCCTTCCCCAAGCATAACCTATATCCGTTCACGTCATGAAACTCAACACAGGGTGACCTTACTCCTGCGCGCCCAAGTATAACGTCTCTCACTATAAGCTAATAAACTTAATGTCTTCAAATTACAATTAAAATAAATGATGCCGCATATGTAATTAAATTTAGAATTCAATTTTGCACCTGCTAAATAAATAAAATATGAAGTTAATGTGTATCGGTGGAAGAGAATGGTAAACCTCACGCTGGACACTCCTAACACTGACACTCGGGGCTTTCCACAAAAACATCCTGCTCGGTAATGTCCACTTTCACGTCATCTTTGTGAAGGCAAGTTAGGTGAATTTACATCTATATGCATATGTAATATACGTCTATATATACAGGTAACTGCTTCGGGGGCAAGCATGAGGTATTAGCTTCGACACTATATAATCACTCCCTCAGGGTAAGCTTGACGTATTAGCTTCGACACAATATAATCACTCCCTCAGGGTAAGCTTGAGGTATTAGCTTCGACACTATATAATCACTCCCTCAGGGTAAGCTTGAGGTATTATCTTCGACACAACATAATGAGTCAACGAATTTGGTATCCAATGGAGTAATGAAATGAACGTCCAATATTGGATCAAGCTTCCTGGACCTGTTATGTTCCTCGAATCCTTTAACCAGCGTAATGAAGCTCTCAGATCAAATATTTAACTTCAATTAAATATTTGGAACAATTGAGGATTCACTTCCTCAGGCTCCTCAAAGGAATGAAACAGCTAACTAAATTTAGAAAAAAATATGCCAATGTGTAATTTTTTTTGCATCTAAACTAAGCTTTTACCCTAATCTAACCTTATATATATATATATATATATAATATATATATATATATATATTATATATAATATATATATATATATATATATATATATATATATATATATTATATATATATATATATATATATATATATATATATATATATATATATATATATATATATGTCGTGCCGAATAGGCAGAACTTGCGATCTTGGCTTAAATAGCAACGCTCATCTTGCCATATAGGACAAGTGAAAATTTGTGTATGCAATAATTTCGCCAAAATCATTCTGAACCTAACGAAAAAAATATGTTTCACTGTGTTTGTTTAGTATTAAATTATTGTAAACAAATCTAAATAATTTAGTTGGGTTAGGCTAAAATAAATTGTTCTTGTTATAATAAGGTTAGGTAAGTTTTTTAAGTTCCTTTTGGTGCAAAATTAAAAATTTTTACATCAACATTAATGAAAAAAATATATCTTTAAACGTATAGGAGAAAATTTTATAAAGGACTTAATTTTAAATGAGTTCTTGCTAATTGACCAGTTTTACATATTTGGCACGACATATATATATATATATATATATATATATATATATATATATATATATTATATATATATATATATATATATATATATATATATATATATATATATATATATATGTCGTGCCGAATAGGCAGAACTTGCGATCTTGGCTTAAATAGCAACGCTCATCTTGCCATATAAGACAAGTGAAAATTTGTGTATGCAATAATTTCGCCAAAATCATTCTGAACCTAACGGAAAAAATACATTTGATTGTGTTTGTTTAGTATTAAATTATTGTAAACGTATTTAAAATATATTTAGTTGGGTTAGACTAAAATAAATTGTTCTTGCTATAATAAGGTTAGGTAAGTTTTCTAAGATTCTTTTGGTGCAAAATTAAAAATTTTTACATAAACATTAATGAAAAAAATACATCTTTAAACGTATGAGAGAAAATTTCAGAAAGGACTTTTTTTATTAATTAAAGATTAGCCGGTATTCTCCCGGCCCGGGCCTTTTCCAAGTGGTGGCCCGGCCTTGGCTCCCTCTTTAGGGAGTGTCTGAGACCTAAGTCTCCCATGGGAGGAGGCACAAGTACCTCCTCATCTTTGGGACCATCTGTCCCCAGGCCTAGCCACAAGCTAGGCCTCTCTGGTCTGCCATCCCCGCCCCAAGGGGGCAAATGGGAATGACAGTCTTATGAGCTAAAGGCTCGGGCTCAGGCACCTACCCTACCCTAGAAGGGTTAGGCATGGTGTCGATGAGAAAGGACTTAATTTTAAATGAGTCCTTGCTAATTGACCAGTTTTACATATTCGGTATGACATATATATATATATATATATATATATATATATATATATATATATATATATATATATATATATATATATATATATATATATATATATATATATATATATAATATATTTATTTATTTATTTATAATATATATATATATATATAATATATATAAGAGAGTGGTGAAGCAATGTAAAAAGAGAGCAAATGAGAGAGTGGGTGAGATGTTATCAACAAATTTTGTTGAAAATAAGAGAAAGTTTTGGAGTGAGATTAACAAGTTAAGAAAGCCTAGAGAACATATGGATTTGTCAGTTAAAAATATGAGAGGAGAGTTATTAAATGGAGAGTTAGAGGTATTGGGAAGATGGAGGGAATATTTTGAGGAATTGTTAAATGTTGATGAAGATAGGGAAGCTGTGATTTCGTGTATAGGACAAGGAGGAATAACATCTTGTAGGAGTGAGGAAGAGCCAGTTGTGAGTGTGGGGGAAGTTCGTGAGGCAGTAGGTAAAATGAAATGGGGTAAGGCAGCCGGGATTGATGGGATAAAGATAGAAATGTTAAAAGCAGGTGGGGATATAGTTTTGGAGTGGTTGGTGCAACTATTTAATAAATGTATGGAAGAGGGTAAGGTACCTAGGGATTGGCAGAGAGCATGCATAGTTCCTTTGTATAAAGGCAAAGGGGATAAAAGAGAGTGCAAAAATTATAGGGGGATAAGTCTGCTGAGTATACCTGGTAAAGTGTATGGTAGAGTTATTACTGAAAGAATTAAGAGTAAGACGGAGAATAGGATAGCAGATGAACAAGGAGGCTTTAGGAAAGGTAGGGGGTGTGTGGACCAGGTGTTTACAGTGAAACATATAAGTGAACAGTATTTAGATAAGGCTAAAGAGGTCTTTGTGGCATTTATGGATTTGGAAAAGGCGTATGACAGGGTGGATAGGGGGGCAATGTGGCAGATGTTGCAAGTGTATGGTGTAGGAGGTAGGTTACTGAAAGCAGTGAAGAGTTTTTACGAGGATAGTGAGGCTCAAGTTAGAGTATGTAGGAAAGAGGGAAATTTTTTCCCAGTAAAAGTAGGCCTTAGACAAGGATGTGTGATGTCACCGTGGTTGTTTAATATATTTATAGAAGGGGTTGTAAGAGAAGTAAATGCGAGGGTCTTGGCAAGAGGCGTGGAGTTAAAAGATAAGGAATCACACACAAAGTGGGAGTTGTCACAGCTGCTCTTTGCTGATGACACTGTGCTCTTGGGAGATTCTGAAGAGAAGTTGCAGAGATTGGTGGATGAATTTGGTAGGGTGTGCAAAAGAAGAAAATTAAAGGTGAATACAGGAAAGAGTAAGGTTATGAGGATAACAAAAAGATTAGGTGATGAAAGATTGAATATCAGATTGGAGGGAGAGAGTATGGAGGAGGTGAATGTATTCAGATATTTGGGAGTGGACGTGTCAGCGGATGGGTCTATGAAAGATGAGGTGAATCATAGAATTGATGAGGGGAAAAGAGTGAGTGGTGCACTTAGGAGTCTGTGGAGACAAAGAACTTTGTCCTTGGAGGCAAAGAGGGGAATGTATGAGAGTATAGTTTTACCAACACTCTTATATGGGTGTGAAGCATGGGTGATGAATGTTGCAGCGAGGAGAAGGCTGGAGGCAGTGGAGATGTCATGTCTGAGGGCAATGTGTGATGTGAATATAATGCAGATAATTCGTAGTTTGGAAGTTAGGAGAAGGTGCGGGATTACCAAAACTGTTGTCCAGAGGGCTGAGGAAGGGTTGTTGAGGTGGTTCGGACATGTAGAGAGAATGGAGCGAAACAGAATGACTTCAAGAGTGTATCAGTCTGTAGTGGAAGGAAGGCGGGGTAGGGGTCGGCCTAGGAAAGGTTGGAGAGAGGGGGTAAAGGAGGTTTTGTGTGCGAGGGGCTTGGACTTCCAGCAGGCATGCGTGAGCGTGTTTGATAGGAGTGAATGGAGACAAATGGTTTTTAATACTTGACGTGCTGTTGGAGTGTGAGCAAAGTAACATTTATGAAGGGGTTCAGGGAAACCGGCAGGCCGGACTTGAGTCCTGGAGATGGGAAGTACAGTGCCTGCACTCTGAAGGAGGGGTGTTAATGTTGCAGTTTAAAAACTGTAGTGTAAAGCACCCTTCTGGCAAGACAGTGATGGAGTGAATGATGGTGAAAGTTTTTCTTTTTCGGGCCACCCTGCCTTGGTGGGAATCGGCCAGTGTGATAATAATAAAAAAAAAATATATATATATATATATATTATATATATATATATATATATATATATATATATATATATATATATATTATACAGTTAATTATATTAGAGGTTAAATCTCTCTCTCTGTGTGTATATATATATATATATATATATATATAATATATATATATATATATATATATATATATATATATATATATTATATATATATATATATATATATATATATATATATATATATATATATATATATATATATATATATATATATATATATATACAGAGAGAGAGAGATTTAACCTCTAATATAATTAACTATAGCCGTCTAATTAACAGTCATATAACTTTAGTTCATCCCGTGTTTGGTGAATATGCTAATTTTCATAGTTAATATACTTGGAATAGTTGGATTCTATGCCATAATTAACGAATACATCTTCTGATCGGCTTCAGACTTTTACCATTATGTGTGTTCCCCATAGCAAGCTTCACTTTGATTTTGGCTTTTAATCCAAGCAGTTACAGTTACTCTTCCTTCCGCTCTGTAACCCCTACTGGTTAAGCGTTCCCACGAATATAATAATACTGAAACTGCGCATAAACAAAGGATAATCGAATATTGCACCATAAACTTCCCAAGGAACTTCAAATAACTT